TGTGGAGGGATATTGGCAAAATGCTGGCAAATGGGACTAGATTAATTTTGGATATCTGGTTGGCGCAGACGAGTTGGACCGAAGTGTCTGTTTATGTGCTGTACATCTCTACGACTCTATGAGATATCAAAAGAAGGAAAATCATCTGCATTGCTCGAAGATTGTATCATTTGGATGATGACGCCCTGGTTTCTCTCGCTTTCTTTTGAGTGAAGCGCCATTAAAAGTGCTTACACAAGTGGTACATTGAAATTCATTTGGTTTCAGTACTCTTGGCATGTGACTCAGGCACTCAGGAATGTGCGTGGCCATTTACCATCGAATTATACTGGGTGTTGGTCAACACTATAGACCTGTGTAAGAAAGATGTCTTAGCTGTCAATTAGAATTCAGCACACTCCATCCCCAGCAGAGAATTGAGATCTTTAAATGTACTTTTACAACAGAACCTTTTCAGCCCATATTTAACAAAGACAACTCAGGGCTGACAGTCAGCATGTTCGAGGCAGACCCATTAGTCTCTACAGAAACTCATAGCAACCACTGAGCACTAGTTTGCAAGAATTGCTTTCTAGAGCTGTTGACAAATAGCAAAAGGTGAGGGGTCACCATCACTACCACATACCTTTGGTTGCCAGCAGCTTCTTCTGCTCGTAGTCAAAAGCCTGAAAACGAAAAGGGGACACAGCACTCACTGAAATGTCATTTCAACATGACAATGTCACCAAGAGCAAACATATTGCCATATCCCATAGTTTGACTGAACAAGCAAATTGGGAAGAACTAAACAACACGACAGCTGTTAGGTGGAAATCTTAAAAGGTAAAGAAAAATGCTCTTTCAAAACCAATCAATTTCAGTACAAATTGAAAACCCTTTGTAGCATTTCCGTCTAAGGTAAGCACGACAACTGGTCTGAAACGCCTGCTTTGTTTCAACAACGCTGTTTCTTTTAGTTTTAAATGGAATCTCTCTCAGGTGTTAGACATTTCAATAGCTTCTCCAGATTGGTGGGAGCTGCATTAAGCAATTTTACATTGCCAGGACAATTACAATGCTGGCAGGAGGCAACTTTCTAAAGAAACAGCAATTCATTCAACAGTTCACCATTTTCAATTGGGCAGAGTACAAAAAGACACATACGCAAAGGCTGATCCCACGCACAGTGATTGGCTTTGAAAAGAGATTAAAAACACAAAATAGTTGCATTGACATAGCAGCGTTCAAATCCTTAAGATATCCCAAAGCACTTTACATCTATTGAAGCATTCTAGGGGGAGGCGATGGCGTAGTGATATTATCACTACAGTGTTAATCTGGAGACCCAGGTAACGTTCTGGGGACTAGGGTTCAAATCCCACCATGGCAAATGGTAGAATTTGAATTCAATAAAAGACTGGAATTAAGAGTCTAATGATGACCAGGAATCTATTGTTGATTGTCAGAAAAGCCCCCGTCTGGGTCACTAATGTTCTTTAGGGAAGAAAACTGCAATCCTTACCTAGTCTGGCCTACATGTGACACCAGACCCACAGTAATATGGTTGACTCTTAACTGCCCTCTGGGCAATTAGCAATGGACAATAAATGCTGGCCTAACCAGTGATGCCCACACTCCACAAATGAATTTTTAAAAACTTCAGAAGTGTAATTGATAGAAATATAGAGGCACTGGTGCAAGTCAAATTGCCACAAAGTGTGATGTGATAATGAGCAGGTACTCATTATATGTGAAACAAAAACCAAAACTGCTACAGAAACTCAGCAGTTCTGGCAGCAGCTGTGGAGAGAAAGCGAACTGAACCATTTCGGGTGTCTCACCGGATTCAAAATGTTAACTCTGCTTTCTCTCCTCAGCTGCTGCTGAGACCTACTGAGTTTCTCCAGCCATTTGTTTTATTAATTTCAGATCCTCAGTATCCGCAGTTCTTCGTTTTATTTTAATCGTTTTTTCTGAAGTTGGTTGAGGGATATACACTGGTGAGGAAATGGGGAGATCTTAAACAAAACCAGAAATCACTGGAAAACTTCAGCATCTGTGGAGAGAAATCAGAGTTAACATTTCAGGTCCAGTGACACTTCCTCAGAACTGATGGTAGCTAGGAAAAGGTTGGTTTTTATGCAGAAGGTAGGGTGAGGGGAGGGGGTAAGGAGTAAACGTTATGTGGAGATAGAGTAAAACAATTGGACAAAGGAATGGATAATGGGCAGCCTAGGAGAGTGAATAGCTGCTAATGGGGGCAATTAGCGGCTAACAATGGGTTGCGTGTAATAGCAGACCATGTGCTAACAAGGCCTGGTGTGTTGGGGTTGGGTAAGAACATGGGAAAAGGTGCCTCAAGCCCTAAATTGTTAAACTCGATATTGAGTCGAAAAGGCTGTAGTAGAGTACCCAAGTGGAAAATGAGGTGCTGAAAGAAAACTGAAAGAACTGTGGGTGCTAAAAATCAGGAACAAGAACAGAAGTTGCTGGAAAAGCTCAGCAAGTCTAGCAGCATCTGTGAAGAAAAGATCAGAGTTAACATTTCAGGTCCGGTGACCCTTTCTCAGAAAATGAGATGCTATTCTTCCAACTTGCATTGAGCTTCACTGCAGCAACCCTGAGACAGAGATGTTGGCCAGGGAACAGAGTGGTGTGTTAAAGTGGCAGGCAACTGAAAGCTCAGGGTCTTTTTTGCAGGCAGAACGTAGGTGTTCTGTGAAACGGTCACCTAGTCTATGCTTTGTTTCCCAAATTTTGAGGAGATCATGAGCTTCACTGGAAGATGTGTTTGGGCCCTTGGATACTGAGGAGGAGGAAGTAAATGGGCAGGTGATACATCATCTTCAATTGCAGGGAAAGGTACTGTGGGGCTGTGGGGGATGTTGGGAGTAGACTATTAGTGCATATATAGACTATTAGCCTGGGTTTTGTGTTTAAACTCTGGACTGAGACTGGGACTGGAAGCCATAACCTTCTGACTGAGGGAGGCAAACATTGAACCCACAGAGATACAGCTGACACCTTCTAGTTTTAGCTCCCACTTTATTCTCTGCACAACAGAGACCTTTCCTTTCCAGTTGGATACAGCAGAGAATTCCAATGTAACAAGCAGTGAAGTGAGGCCTAGATTCAGTGCAGGAAGAAAGTCCAACTTCAAAAGCCTTAAAAAGAACAACTGGATTAGATTAAAAAAAAATCAATGACTGGTAACAAGTTTGGGAGCCTATGGAGCAGAAACATTCAGCTGGAGCAGTGATGTCGCTGGCTCTCAGCACAAATTAACAATCGCAACATGATTATGATAAAAGCACAACTAATCCTCCTAATAATTTCCTTTGGAAACTTCTCCCCTGAATATGGAGTTGCAGCAAATATAACAAGAGTGCAGATCTGCAGAACTGTCAGCAGTTTTGGTCCCTTATTTAAGGAAAGATATCATTTCATTGGAGGCTGTTCAGAGAACGTTCACTAGGATGATCCCTGGGTATGGAGGGATTGTCTTATGAGGAAAGGCTAAACAGGTTGGGACTCTACTCAGTGGAATTTAGAAGAACAACAGATGATCTCATTGAAACATTAGAATTCTCAGGGACCTGACCAGGTAGTGCTGAGAGGATGTTTCCCATCATGGGAAAGTCTAGGACCAGAGGGCATAGTCTCAGAATAAACGGGTGCCAATTTAAGACTGAGCTGAGGAGGAATTTCTTCTCTTAGAGGATTGAGTGTCTTTGGGGGCGGAGTCCCTGTGCCAACTTAAGACTGAGAGAGATAGATTCTTGATCAGAAGGAGAATCAAGGTTATGGGATTAGGAAGGAAAGTGGACATGAGGAATATCAGATCCGCCATGATCCTACTGAATGGCACAGCAGGCTCTTCTTCCTGTTTATCCTGTGTATCTTATTCAACAACATGGGCTGGACACAGTGGTCAAAGCCAGCCAGGCAGTGGCCACTTGTGGCAATTTTTCTAGTAGGCAGCAACTTTGAGATCAGTCAGCAGGCCTTGCTGCTCTCACCGCTGCGACTAAGGCCAATTACAAGACCAGGTGGCTCAGTGGTTAGTACTGCTGCCTCACAGCGCTAGGGACCCGGGTTTAATTCCACCCTCGGCGACTGTCTGTGTGGTTTTGCACATGTCTCCCTGTGTCTACATGGGTTTCCTCCCAAAGTCCAAAGATGTGCAGGCTGGGTGGATTGGCCATGCTAAATTGCCCGTAGTGTGTAGGTTGTGTAGGTTAGTTGGGATGCTCTGAGGGTTGATGTGAACTTGTTGGGCCAAAGGGCCTGTTTCCACACTGTAGGGATTAAAAGAAAAAGTGTGGCCTGGGCCAAAACTAAAACTAGATGTGGGAATGAATTCTGAACTTGTCTATTCTGTTATGGCCTTGTGCTATGTGAACAGTGTGATTAACCAGAAAGCCACTGGAGGCTTGCATCGTTTTGAACATTGAGCACTCGTCATGTTTGGTTACTAAGTTCAGAACACACTAACCAGGAAACAATGATGCACAATCAAGCAGTTCTCACAAATCTCCAGAAAAACTGGCTTTCCTCACAAAACACACACGCACACACACACAGATTGCAAAGTCCAGAAGGTGCCCATGTTTTTAATTTCTCGAGATGCATACCATCATCGCCATTACCTGAATGTTGGCATATGCCGACTGTGGAGCAAGACGCAGTCGCTCAGAGTTCTGCTGGGCAGCAGCGGCTCTCTCCGCAGCTCGCTCACTCCCAGGGGCTCGCTTGTCGGTGGCACTGCCCTCGGTGGCACTGGAGTCGGAATCTGAAAGCAGTCTGTCTGAGGTACTGCAAGGAGAAACCATCCATCAGATCTCAGAGATAGTAGGAACTGCTGATGCTGGAGTCTGCGATAAC